ATGTTCAAGGCGTTAAAATTAAAAGTTTAATTATCAATTACAAAAAAAAGTTACGGTTTCCGTGGTTTTTATCATTTTGTTAAAATTTAAAATTTAAATGGTATTAAAACTTATTTATTTTTTTTTAATAATCATTAAGCGATATTTTTATCGAATTTTTATATTGATTTTTCGACTTTTTATCAAACCAAAATTACTTCATCGGCATTTTTAAAATAAAATATAAGAAACATAAATTATTTATAAAAAGCTAAAATTTTTTTTTAAATTTGTGCCACAAATAGGAAATGGTGATATAAGCAATCATTGAAAATGTTGTTTTTATAATTAGTATTTTTGAGTTAAAATTAAAACAAAAAATTCGATTTTATCGAATGGCGACATTCCATAAATTTTTTATATACATTTTTGTTATCATAACGAAATATTTCAGAGAAATTTTGAAATATTCGTTCTATTGATTATTATAATAGGAGTAATACTTATAGTTGAACTCGTACAAAAAAATAATTATAGTGATTAGATCAATACATTCCTGTTTTCACTCCAAGTCTAAAATAATAATTTTAACGTTATATGGTGATATGTCTATATTGAAAAAAAACGATCTGTGTTGTATTATAAAATTATTTCATATTGAGCATGAAATTATGGTAATTAAGTCAGGACAAAGATGAAAAGATTTGTGTGCTTTAAGATTGTCATGATCAACATCTACGCATCGCTGCGTTGTAGTTGAACATACTAACATTGATTATAAATACATTATTTATAATATACTAGTTTATAATACACTATTTATTATTATAAGAGTATATATATGCCAATAGAGGTTGAATGTATAGTGTTTGTTTCACCACTCGTAACAGTTTGGCCTAAGGTTGTACGATAACATCGTGGCCTTGAGTTTGCGCCGAAACAACAGCTGCGTAGCACGAACAGTAATAGACGTACGGCTACGTATTTTACACTTCCAGTAACAATATTGTTGCGCGGCTGCTTCGTTACGCGGTACAATGTGGTTTCGTGTAGTGTTAATGCTACTCGCGTGCGTCGATCTCGCGACGCTGCCCGTGAACAGCGCTCGCATACTGGCCGTGCAGACGGTTTGCGGCAAGAGCCACTGGAACTTCATGAGTGGAGTACTCCGGGCTCTGGTAGAAGGCGGCCACACCGTCACTGCATTCACGCCGTTCCCTGACGGCAACCAGGAGAACTACACCGAAGTGGACATTTCCAGGGATATGTACTGCTTCCGGGAACAAAACCTAAAGGGCGCTGTTGCAAACTTTAGCAGACCTGTCTCAGTAATCGACTTAATGGTCTTGTTAAGCAGAGAGCAGTGCGATACAGTGTACGCTAACGATCGGATGATCGAACTGATGCGGCAGAACGCCGCTACCCCTTTCGACCTGGTATTCATTGAACCACTTATGTCAGAATGCGTGTCATACATTGCTACCTTGTTGGACGTGCCAGTGATCTACGTGATACCGCTGTCCGTGACGAGCTTAATGGAACACTATAACACTGGCCACTTTTCCAATCCCGCCGTCGTCTCCCACGTATTGGCCGCCTACGGTCTGCCAACTACGTTCGTCCAGCGGCTAACCAACACTGCTATTTTCGCCTATGAACTGGTTACCTCCAAGTTCACGATGTCCCTGGTGAAACGCAACAATCCCAGACCGTACGATTTGGTCCCACTTTACAAACCATCTTTGGTGTTCGTTAACAGCCATCCCGTAATGTCCGCGTCGAGTTCGATAGTCACGAATGTCATCAACGTGGGTGGAATACATCTGAATGTCGCTAAAAGCTTACCTAAAGTAATGAATAACACAGTACTATATACAGATAATATATTACGTAAATCTTTACTTGCACTTGGAAAAAAATAATAAATTAATCATTGAAAAATGTTTCTAGAAGTGTAAACATTTTCCCACTATTATAGTGTTCTTTAAATGCTTTATTATTTCTTCATTTTAAATTGAAAAACGCAAGCTTGTTATATGGATTGCCTTCAAGGGTAGATTGGCTTATCAGAAAACTATCTTAGATAAAAATAATAACATTTTTGACTAAACAACAATAACACAAAATGTAGCGTTTGGCGTCTATGAATATAAATTTGGTCATCTCTATATAAAATAGCTTACGATTAGCGTATCCTTGATACATACAAATTACACTAACACAACATAACATATAAAAAACTTAACGATCAGACATACTTTACGGACGATCTTACTACACCCTCACTCAGTAATTCAAAATCGGGTGGCCGTGTTAAAAACGGCGCATCGACAAGCCGGCGGCAGCCGATAACATGTCGTGCAAAATCTTTTGTGTAATAATGTACCCATTTAGAATTATATAATTCACATGACACAAACTAAAATTACAAAAACATAAAAATAACCATGTAGTGATTAAATGTGTGAGTCATTCCATTATTATTAACATTTACATTCCGGGCGCAAACAACCAAATTCGACCCTATTAAATACTTGGCTGGCATTAAAATGATAATCGAGTTTAATTTCTTTTAGTTGGTTAAAAAATAAAACAAAATATATTTTATTAAATTATATTTTCATAAATCGACCAGTAGAAGTGACTTCTGGTTTTATAACACTCAAGTTATACTTAAACATAAAGTTACTCATCTAATCACATGCCAACTTAATCTGCGTATTGAACCGGTCATGAATATAATTTTGTAGAATTAATAAAATGTAATTAATATTTATACAAAAATATTAAAATATTAAATTAAAGTAAACATTTAACGCCGATTGGTTACAAAATATTTAAGAATATTTTCTGTATATATATAAATATTTTATAAGATCAAACAACAAGTTCAAGTTAGAACAGCTAAGATACCTTATCCGACTAACTCAAAACTCTTATAACATATTAAGTATGTTTTAGCCTATTTTACATATTTAAAGAATATTAAAATATTATTTTAGGGTTTTTTTTAGATCATATAAGTATTATTTATATTTTATAAAGAAATGGTATACAAAAGTTATTTGTTGGATTTTATATTGTTTTATGAAAGATGATTTTAAAAGTTTTTATATTTAAATTATTAAACAGATATTTACTGTATAGTATTAATATATCTGTGTTTAAATAGTTATTGATTAATTATTTAAATTTGATTATTAATTTAATCTATGAATAAATAAAATCTTATTTTAACATATTTTACATGTTTAAAGAATATTTTAAGCTTTTTTTATAGCATGTTAACATCAAATTTTAAAAATTTGAGAACCTAAAAATCTGTTCGCTTTCATATATGTAGTGATGATCACATATTATTCCATATTGGTAGGATATTTTGGAATTCATCGAACAATCACCGATTGGAGTAATTTATTTCTCATTTGGTTCTACTACTAAAATGTCATCGCTACCGGAACATATTAAAAAAGCATTTTTGGAAGTTTTAGCAGAACTTCCTCAAAGAATATTGATGAAATATGAAGAAGAATTAGAAGATAAGCCCAAAAACATAATGACAAAAAAATGGCTTCCCCAACGTGATATACTACGTATATAGAATATTTTTTATATTTTCTTAATATTTATCATTAAAAGTAAATATACCATTAATTATTTTCTACAGTTCATCCAAACGTGAAATTATTTATTAGTCATGGAGGCATATCTGGGTTGTACGAAACTATTGACGCCGGAGTCCCAATCCTTGGATTTCCTTTATTCGGAGATCAGCCAAGAAATATAGACACTTTAGTAAACAATGGAATGGC